AGTCGAGGTGTGGAGCAGAAAATGGGAAGATTACTGGCCTGCACATGACAATCTGGATGCGCAAAGAGTAAGATCCTTTCTTTCTGGATTTTCAAAGCACTCAAATGCTGTCGCTCTAAGCATTTTAAATTATTTTTTGAGAATTGCATTTAAATCCTGTGTGATACATTATGTTTTATACTCTATATGGAAGCTAATAGCATTCTTGAAAAAAGGACTTTACTTATCGAACAATCGACACTTGTTTGGAGGTGACCAAAGCATGTGGCAGGTTGGGAGAAGTCTAGTAAGAATGGGCTAACCTAGTTTTGAGTTGCAACACTGCCATCAGCTAGTAGTAAGACTGTGGGCACGTGACACAACTAATCCCAGCTTCCTCTGTCACAATAAGAAGGCAAATCATTTGTTCATTCATTATCCATTTATTCACTAGACGCTATTGAGCATTCCTTGTGGGGTGCACATAACAGGAGTGGAGGGATGCGGTGATTACCTCTGACTCTGAATTTCTGTCTTAAGTTGGTGGTCAATATTTAAGAAAATAAAAATAACAGGCTAAGTTTCATAACCATTAAGTAATAAGGGTGATTATTTGGGGTGGCTCACAAATCATCTTTGATAAAACTTCCTAAAGAAAATATCCAAATGTTTGAGCAACTATAGCTTTGCTAAGTAAAAAGTTTAACTTCTTTTAATTGACAAAGGTGAAGGACCAGGCTCATCTCAGATGCATTAGTTGGTGCCTGGATTTATTTATTTATTTATTTATTTATTTATTTATATTTCAGACAATGGCTTATAATCATAACCATGCATGAAAATAATCTATGGAGACTTTGAAAGTATAGATGGTATGCCAACACACTTCCTGAGTTAGAAACTTGCTAGGAAGTTGTAGGTCACAGGCATTTAAAAAGAACATTATAGGTAATTCTGATACACAACCAGAGATAAGAACCACTGGCCTATTCTAACTCCTCATACTTTTGGAAATCTCTGCATTAATCTTGTGTATTATACCTATCTCTTCTCACAAAACTTTCTTTTAAAAATATCTGGGCTGCATCTTATAATTGAAACTAAATTCAATTAATACATGAAGATCTGGTCCAAAGTGAATTTCTCCATCTACCAAGTTGTAATTTTTTTTTTTTTAACTGAGCAAACACGATGTACCTATTTCTCTGTTAGTTGTTAGGTGACTTTAAAATAAATCTAATGTCCGATCTCTACCCCAAATGGCCAATGTTAGAAATTGGAGATGAGTTGATAGTGTTAAGAAAGCGGTGGACAGAATGGTCCGATCTACTCCAAACCACAGCCACCCTTCCTCCTGAGTTTCTTGAGGGACATAAACACAGGAAATGTCGGAGTGGCTAACTGGACTTGGACCTAGGCACTGTTGCAGGTTGCAGTGTGACTCGCAGCTGGACCACAAAGCCCAGGCTGCTCATCCTGGCTGTGTCTCAGCTGGTCATCACCCCAAATCAGCCTGCACTCTAGATGGCAGCATGGAAGGAAGAAACGGGGGGAAAGGAACATGCCATCAACTAAGAGCATCAAGGGGCCATAGATAAGCCTTCCAATGTAGCAGCCCCGGACTCAGCCTGCTACCTCTGCTTACAGGTGAACACTTGAAGAGAGAAGAAGCAAGCAAGCTTGTCCTACTTCCAACCACTACACCAGTGGGTGCTCTGGATTCTAACAAGCCCACAGCAACTTCTGGGGGTGCAGTCAAGGTGTGGAGCAGAAAATGGGAAGATTACTGGCCTGCACATGACAATCGGGATGGGCAAAGAGTAAGATCCTTTCTTTCTGGATTTTCAAAGCACTCTGAATATTTATATACTGCTGTTATTTATTACACTCTACTCTGCAATCTGTCCTATTAAGTTCTCTTTGTGCTAACACAGTTCCTAGCACACAATAGGTAACCAACAATCCTTTATAAGTGAAATCTGTTGTAAAAAATATCACAGAATGTAAGATATAAATAAAATTTATGTGATACATATAAGGCTATGGAACTTTTTTTAAAAAAAAGTAGTAATGGCTGGGATAGGTTGGAAAATCTTCACGGAGAAGGTGGGCTTGAGGCAGATCTTTAGAGTAAAGATCTTTAGATCTTTGTATTTATACACAGGACGTGTGACCGGTGACCGGGGCTGCGGACTGTCTTTGGATGCTGGAGAAGAGTGACAAGTCAGCTGTCGCTCTGAAAGTTAGTATGAACTGGAAATCTGACAGCAAATCATCATTGGTAAATATATAGACCATTTAATGGCATAATTCATTTCTCTTCTAGATGAGCACCCACAGAAGAAAGACTATTATAGAAATTAGTACATTAATAGACACATATTATCTCATAAAAAGGAAAGGAGCAAAAATGTAATGTGTGGAATAATTGGAGTGAGGGCCTTTTGAAAACTAAGGGTTTTTTCCTAACATTATACTGTAATGTTCCCTTTAGAGGACAACAGAAAAATAGGAAGAAGAGGAACATATCATGTATGTCTCACTGCCCCCAAGCAACCACTTTTAACATCTTGATGAGTTTTTTCCTGGGTGCTGGTTTCATTCTTATTACAACTCAAGCAACTTGCTTTAGTAAACATTTCACATTTCTTCCCGTTTTTTCTCTTGTGTTACTTTTCCTGCTCTCTCTAAACAGGATGTACAAGAAAATTAAATGGTTTTAATTTAAAATGTGGATTATTGCCCTGGCCAGTTTTCTCAGTGGTTAGAGCATCGGCCTGCAGACCAGGGAGTCCCGGGTCCGATTCTGGCCAAGGGCACATACCTTGGTTATGATTCATCCCTGGCCCAGGTGGGGTTCGTGCGGGAGGCAACCAGTCCAGGTGTCTCTCTCACATCGATGTTTCTCTCTTTCTCTCTCCCACTCTGTCTGAAGATAAATGTAAAAGTATCCTTGGGTGAGGATTTAAATAAATAAATAAATAAATAAAAATGTGAATTATTAAGCCTTCTAGGACCAAAATTTAAAATACTGCTTGAATTTAAACATAATGCATGATAATGAAAAATACCCTTTTCTAAAATTTATGTGATAAATTAAATGTTTTTGCAGATTGCGTATTGGCAAAAAATATGCCTGAGTAAAAAGATAGATGATGAGGAAAGCTGCAAATGATTGACGGGCGTGGGGTTCAGGAACCCCAGCAAGACCATGGTTCTTCAGTATTCAGGGAGCTGACAGAGGGCTCACCTCCCAGGGGCTAGCAATCCAGTTGGGTATTTAGAATCTGTCAGCCCCTCCTCACCTGTCCTCTTCTGATTATACCCTAACTACCCTGGGGAAGAGGAGCGAAAACAATGAAACTAGAAAGGCTTGTCTCCAAGGACTAGGCACGGGGAAGGAGCTGCTGGCTGGGAGCCCTGGTGAGGCAAGTCTGAACCAGCAGATCTGACCCGACACATTCCAGAGTCACCTCATAGATGGATAACCACAAGGCATGAACGATCACTCTGCTGTGCCACATGTTTCCCGACCGCACAGTCTGGGCGCCTGAGACTGACCTGCCGCAGTAGCAGATTGTGACCCGCCGTAGTAGCCTGTGACCTGCCATAGTAGAATCATTTTGCCCTTTGTGCCTTGTCGTGCTTTACAACTCTGTCCTCACGAGTGTAACATTCTATTACACTTCTCTGTTTATATGTCTGTGTCCCTCCAGGTGAACGTGAGCTCCTTCTGAGCAGGAACCTGCCTTTCCACAGGCAGTGCCTACCGGGTTACTTGTTAATGTTAGGCAATCAATAAATGGGTATTAAATTAATTCATAAAAAAATGACATACAGGCAGCCAGTACCAACAAGAAATAAATGATATAGTTACAGTTAGTGTTTGGAAAAGGAATGCTTCCTATTGCCTTAAAGGATGATATGAGTGTTGAACTTCGTTTGGGGTATGTCCTGGGTATGTTTGAAAAGTAGGACTTAATCATGAGGTGCATCCCAAACCTACCAAATGCCCAGACTCCACCCTGAAAATAACAAAATCAAGCATATAAAAGAAAACATGTTTTCAAATTAAAAAGTTTTTCAGTTGCAGTTGATATGCAATATGATTTTAGTTACAAGTGTACAACATAGTGATTAGACAATTAAATAACTTACCAAGTGATCACCCCTCTAAGTCCAGTACCCTCTGACACCATACATAGTTATTACAATATTATTGACTGTATTCTATATGCTATACTTTATATCCCTGTCTATTTTTATAACTGGCAATTAGTACATCTTAATCCCTTCACCTTTTTCATCTATCCCCCAAACACCCTTCTATTTGACAATTATCAAAATGTTCTCTGTATCTATGAGTTTCTGTTTTATTTGTTTACTTATTTTGTTTTTCTTTTTCTAGATTTTACATATAAGTGAACCCATATGATACATGTCTTTCTCTGTCTGACATTTCACTAAGCATAATAACCTCTAGGTCCATTCATGTTGTCACAAATGGCAAGATTTCATTCTTTTTTATGGTTGAGTGATACTCCAGTATATATATGCACCACATCTTCTTTATCCATTTGTCTATCAGTGGATACTTCGGTTGCTTACATATCTTGGTTATTGTAAATAATGCTGCGATGAATATAGGGGTGCATACATCTAAAAGAAAACATGTTTAAATGCACTACAGATGATTCTGACTCGCATCTGGCCAAAAAAATCAGTGCATACAAGTATCTGTTAATATGCCACTTCGTTTTATGAATTCGGCTAATAAAAGCACAACACAAGTTCCAGGTACAAATAACAAGTTGAGCATGATGCTCCATTAGTACAAATATAGTTAAGCTAAAGGTGGTGTAGATTATAGCATAGCACTTGGCATTTCCCCATGTGCCAAACTGCAGAAGTTTTGTAAACAAACACCTTATAAAATGTCTATCCTGCCCTACAGGCTTTGTGTATTCCTACACAGTTTGGCAGAAAATGTGTCATTCTATTTTATTTTTCTCTTGTCTAAAACCACTCAGACTTCATTATCTCCCTCTTACTCTAACAAAGGAATAGAAGAACAATCATCAACGGCTAATAGCACTTGCAATAGCGACACCAAAAGCCAGCTTCGTGCTCAGAGAGAACGCTGTGCCTCTTCCTTGTGGTTTCGGGTGCTCTACACATTCAGAGAAACTTCTCTAGTAACAAAACATAGAAATGATCCCTGAAAGTATAGTCTTAGGAAATACGTTATTTTAGTGTTCCTTTCTTTTTGGAAATAAACTCACGACTCACCAATCATTTATTTATTTATTTATTTATTTAATCCTCACCTGAGGACATTTTTTCATTTTTTGTTCAGATAGAGCAGGAGGGAGAGAGAGGAACAGAGAGAGAGAGAGAAACATCGACGTGAAAGGTACATATTGAGTGGCTGCCATCCAGACGACCCAACCAGGGCCAGGGACAAACTGCAACCGAGGTACATGCCCTTAGCGGGAACCGAACCCGGGTCTCTCTGGACTGCAGGCTGACGCTCTAACCGCTGAGTCAAACTGGCCAGGGCTTTTTTTTTTTTCAATTTTTTTTTCTTTATTGATTTTAGAGAGAGAGGAAGGAAGAAGGAGAGAGAGATAGAAACATTGATGAGAGAGAACATTGATTGGTCACCTCCTACATGCCCCCCACTAGGGATTTGGCCCACAACCTGGGCATGTGCCCTGACCAGGAATTGAACCGGCGACCTCTTGGTGCATGGGTCGACGCTCAACCACTGAGCCACACCAACTGGGCACCACCAGTCACTTCTATACATTTTTCTTATGCTACTGTCAATCTGTAATTGCAGAGATGTGGATGCTCCTGAGGTTTACCTGAGGTTTTACTGAGGTTTACCTGAGGGGGTGCATGCACCAAGGTATCTCCAGTTTCAAGGGATAGAAATAACTCATTTAAACCTAAGGAATGTCTGTTGACTTGTTTGTTTACTTAACCATTCAACAAACATTGATGGAGCACCTACTGTCTGCCAAGAATGATGATGCAGTGGTGAACAAGACAATCTCCTGCCTTATGATGTTCAAGAATGAGCTTGCTTTAGGCATGATTGGTTTTTGAGACTCAAAAATGGCATGAAACCTCTCCCCAACCTGCTTTCCATCTTTTTTTTTTTTTTTTTTTTTTACCATTCAAGCCTCTTTGCTTACTGCCCTTCTTCTCATCTGTCACAGAAGGACTCCTTCTAGGTTGTGAGAAAGAAACCCTCCCTCTGACAACCTCCCTCCAAAAGGCAGAGAGGGCCCTGGCTGGTTTGGCTCAGCGGTTAGAGTGTCGGCCTGTGGTCCAGAGAGACCAGGGTTCGGTTCCCGCTCAGGGCACGTACCTCGGTTGCAGTTGGTTGTGTGGGTGGCAACCACTAGATGTGTCGCTTTCATGTCGATGTTTCTCTCTCTCTCTCTCTCTCTCTCTCTCTCTCTCTCTCCCTCTCTCCCCCTCCCACTCTATCTGAACAAAATATCGAAAAATGTCTTTGGGTGAGGATAAAAAAAAAGGCAGAAAGGGCTGCTCCCACCCCAGCATCCTTCTCTCAGGCCTCGTGGAAGATTCTGCCCCATCCTGCCTTGGCGCAGTCCTTCCTGTGCCTGACCCTTAAACCCTGGGCAGGGGGCAGGGATACTGTGATTGGCCAGACCAAGTCCAAAGGCCCCTCCTGTGGTCGTGGCGCGGGCAGCAGTTCCACAAGGCCACGTCGGGGTGGTGAGGGGTCATTCCCCAACATAAAGAAGTGTTTTAGGCCCAAAAGAAAGATATCTTCCATACCATGTGTGATATTTTAGGGAGTATAGCATTTGAAAAATGTGAACATTTTTCTGTTAAACTTTAATCTAGCTTAATGTGAGATTATCAAAACATTGTGTTTTTGTCTTTTATTGAATTTATTAGGGTGACATTGGTTAACAAGATTATATAGGTTTCAGATATACAATTCCATAATATGTCACCTGTATACTGCATGGTGTGTTCACCACCCCAAGTCAAGTCTCCTTCCATCACCACTTACGCCCCCTGCCTAGGCACTGTCTTTCTCTGAAATGTCTCCTTGGAGTCCTGTTTCCATTGTTTCTCTTCCCACCCTTTCCACAGAAAATTGTAACCCTCACTGACCGATAGTTCTGAAGTTTCAGCTACTAAATTAGTGCTTTACTTCACGATCTTAATTTTTCTCCTCTTGAATGTGGGCTGGACTTAGTGACTCCCTTCCAAGGAACAGAACGGGCCCCGGCCGTTGCTCAGTGACTTCTGCGGCTGTGCCATGAAAAGGGTGGCTTTACCTTGTTTTCTCACCTCGGAATCTCTCGTTCTGATCGAAGCCCGAGGCCGTGTTGAGAGGACACCCAGACAGCCCATAGAGAGGCCAACACCCGGGGAGGCCACGGAGAAAGGAAACAACTTGCCATCCAGATGGGTGAGCACCTTGAAAGCAGATTTCCTGCCTCAGTCAAAACCTCAGATGACTCCAGTCTTTCAGCCGAGACCCCAGAAAACGTGAAGAAACAAACCACTCTTGCTTTGCCCTGTTTGAAAATTTGACTCACAGAAACCATGAAATAAATAATTATTGCTGTTCCAAACTACTATGTTTGGGGTGATTTATTATACAGCAATAGATAATTAATACAGAGGAGCCAGAAAGGCGGGAGATAAATGGAGAGAGTTTGGTAAGGTAATTTAAATTAAAAAAAAAAAAAAAAAAGCCCTGCCGGGTGGGTTGGTTCAAGTATTATCTCGTACACCAATAAGTTGGGGGTTCCATTCGTGGTCAGGGCACATACCCGGGTTGCAGGTTCGATCCCTGGTAGGGGCACATGTGGGAGGCAACCGATCAATGTTTCTCTCTCATATCAATGTTTCTCTCTTACATCAAGGTTTTTCTCACCCCCCGTCCCCTTCGTCTCTTTTGAGAATCATTGAATATATCCTCAGGTGAGGATGAAAAGACCAAAAAAACTTTAATTTTTTCTATTGTTAGTTATAGATACAAAGTAACTCCTTGTATTTCTCTTCTTAGTACATTTAAAAAATTGAGATATATTACCCACAATAAACATGCAAACCTTAAATGTTGTTCAGTGAGTTCTCACAATCACTTACACCCATGCAACCATCACCCAAGACAAGAGATAGAAGATTTCCATCGCCCTAGTGGGTCCCCTTCTGCTTCTTTCTAGTCGGTTCTCTCATCCCAAGTCCAAGGCACTTTTTAAATTCAATGATTATAGATTGGTTTTGCATTTTTATTTTTAAATAAATGGAATTATGCAGTATTATTCTGTGTCTGGTTTCTTTCACTCAGCAAACTGCTAGTGAGATTCACTCAGCCCATTGCCTGTATCAGTAGTTCATTCCTACTCATTAGCAAGTAGTATTTCACTGTGTGAATATTCCACAATTTGTTTGTACGTTCTTGTACCTTTATTTCTTTTTTTAATATGTTTTTTTAAAAAATTGATCTAGAGAGAGAGAAAGGGAGAGGGAGAGGGAGATGGAGAGGAAGAGAGAAACATCTTTGCTGCCTGCAAACACAGGCCGTCTCCTGCATGCTCCCTACTGGGGACTGAGCCCGAAACCTGGGCATGTGCCCTGACTGGAAATTGAACCATTGACCTTTTGGTGCACAGGACAATGCCCAATCAACTGAGCCACAACAGCCAGGGCCTCCCTTAATTAAAATAAGTATATTCCTTCTTCATCGATGTGGACACATCAAAATTACATGGACAAAACTACATGTACAAAATTATGTAGAAAAGTTTGATATCATTATAAATAATATCATATAAGTAGGTAGAACACTTTAGGAAATGACTGATAGTAACCATCCTGACAGACTATAGAATGAGAGTTATAAGCACTCTGTTGACCATAGCAACTGCACTGCCCATGTGATATTTAACTTGAAAATACAAACTGTTACGTAAAAATCATAAATAGGTTAATTATTTTGAGAAAAAAACCTGAGCCAAAAGACACAGTTAGACTTAATGGCTTAGAAATAAAGAAAATGGAAAAGAATAGAGAGTTTATTAGTTGTGTACACACACACACAGATCAGCAATATCTCTAGACTCATTTTCTGTATGGAAGCCAGTGAGACATGTGGGCCAAAGGAGTTTTCAATTGTTCTCTGTGGAGTATTTGAAAGTAAACCAAATCTAACTAAACATTTTTGATATATTTAATTACACATTAAAGAGACTTCATACAGACCTTGGAACTGTAATGACTTTTCTATGAAATTTTTATTATTCTTGGTGAGTCTAAGATCATGTCTTCAGAAACATGTTGGTTTGGAGATTATTTTTAGTTGGGTTTCCCAAGGACATTTTGCTAATGACATTAGTTTTAAAAAAGAGTTATCATCATCCCAGTTCTGAACTTCTATAGCATAAACACTTGAAATAATGTTGAATTTGAGATGCGGCAAAGAGAGCTACTAAACTTAATTTTGTTATTTTCCCCAGAGGGTCGAAATAATCTCAAACCATATATATTAACTACTTTCCTGCACTTTCTAATTTATAATCTCTGTCAGTTTTGAGTTATGGGAGCAGCCAATAGAGTATCTGAAAACACTTTGTTTCTACTTTGCCTTTCTTCCCGGTAACATAAATATATGAAGAGGTTATTGCTTACTCTATAAAATAGAGACATTATAATTTATGAATACTAAAAAAAAAAACCATGTTCATTTCTGTTAAACTATGCAAGAAACTGGAAATGGTGATTTTTCTCAGTGGAAAAGATATATTAAAGGGAGAGCGTTCCCTTTTGTATCTGTCAGGACCCTCTGATCCCATTTTAGCCCTGATTACTCACTATCACTAAGCTTTTGACAACTTTCTTCACCCTGTTCTTTGTTTCCACTTTCCTGTATCAATTAAGTGAAAATACTGTCCTTATCAATATCATCTCATGGTATTGCCAAAGATCCAGCCCCCTCAGACACAGATGTAAGCATGCAGCCAGACACTCGAGCAGGTATGAGGCTCCCTATTCTGCTGTCTTCTTCGCTGGAAGCTAAAAATTAAAGTTGGCAGTTGTAATCAGACTAGAGGATTACAATTTAGCTGGGCTGTTGTTCACTGGTACTGGTTTCATTTGTAACTTGTCTCAGCTAGGCAATTAAAAGTAAGCCTTTATTATAAGAATTTATGTATAAGTTATGTTTTATAACTGTAAGCCTCACTAGTTCTGAAACTTAGAAAACAAACCTATAGGAGCATATCCTATTATTTTGTTTAACTACTGTAATTTACGTCTAATTTAAGGTTTTGAGGAAAAGGCTAGGGATATTTGATTCTTAACTAAATGACAGCCCAAAACTATGGTTAGCAAACAGAGCCTGTATCTACTTATAAATTTATAATAGAAATAATAGTCTCCAACAACTATTGTATACAGGGGTGGCAAAAGTAGGTTTACAGTTATAATACACATAAATAATATAATTAATAAATATTAATACAAGAATTGCCCTGGCCGGTTTGGCTCAGTGGTTAGAGTGGCAGCCTGCAGTCCAGAGAGACCCAGGTTCGGTTCCCACTAAGGGCACATACCTCGGTTGCAGTTTGTCCCCAGCCCTGGTTGCGTCATGTAGGTGGCAGCCACTCGATGTGTCTCTTTCACGTCGATGTTTCCCTCTCTCTCTCTCCCCAACTCTATCTGAATAAAAAAATGGAAAAATGTCCTCGGGTGAGGATAAAAAAAAAATACACACACACACACACACACACACACAAGAATAAACTGTTTTGCATACTCACAACTGTAAACCTACTTTTGCTCACTCCTGTATATTAAGGCGGTGAATCAAGACATTTTTGTAAAGTTCTCAGGTAGCTATAGGTTCAAGGCTAATAGCTTAATTCTACGATAGATAAAATACTACCCATGATCATTAAATTGTTCAAAATCACAAACAACTTAAACAGTCCACTCACTTGTTTGACTATAGGAAGTAATGAATAAAACAGGTAATCCACAAGAGTTTACATTTGGTTACCTTCACTTCCATCCCCAATTAGGAAGTGGTTTCTTAATCTGGTTACTTAATAATTCTGATTAAATTTTTGCATCTTTAAAAGTGGAAACTATTAGGCGTTTCTAAGGAACAACAGTCAAGTATGTAATGCACCTAGCATGTGTTTGTTACAGAATAGATAACTCAGTCATTGGTAGCTATGCTATTCATAACAACAAATAATTCCTGGCAGTCAGTTAGCTTCCAAAAAATGTGTAGTATATTTATCTAGAAAAACCAAGTATTGTTCTGTTTCACCATTTGGGTTGTTCTCAGTCAGGCCCACGTTAGGTGGGCACCTTGTGTAACACCAGCTTTTTTTGTTTGTTCTCCCTAGAAATCCTAATGGTGTCATGGCCCCAAAGCTATTGACAATGACCCTATGTCAGCCCTTCTGCAACTCTTGTGAGACTGAGGGCTGCTTCTACTGGTCTAAGTGGAACATAGGGTTGTGCAATGTGTATTCTGCTTTCTAAGCTACTGCATTTGTTCCATGGACCATATTTTTCTCACTGATGTAGAAGGAAAACTCTGACATTCATAAAATAAGTAAGAATATATTTTATACCTTCAAAGGTACCTTAGTGCGGACTAGGCTGTTTACAAGGAGAACTGATGACGATCAGTATATAATTTTGAGGAAACAGAGCAGAGAGTTAGACTTTCTTTAAACTTACTGAGATAAAGCAATCTAGGAGTAGATTTTATTCTAGCATCTTGGCAACATTATTTATTTTTAAATACAGCTTTCTGAGTGTTAAAATGGCCATACCAAAGTAATATAGAAATACTCCAAATTGAGGGGATCATTTCTTAGTGGTTTCACTGAAATTCTAAGTGCTACTGAGAAGTATGTGGGAGTATGAATAATCAGTTTTATTGATTAATTCTGTGACTTTGGGCAGGGACCAAATTCTATCTTGAACATCCTTATATTGTTGCACACTGCAGGTGCTTTTAAAATATCTTCGGTGTAGACTGAGTCAAACTACCCAGTCCTAGGTACATAATAATCTCCGTGGGCCCTGTTGTGGACATCAGTGAAGATTGGCTGGGGACTCCATATAAACGATTAAAAGTGCTTTTAAAAACAATTACATGTGAGAGAGTTCACAATTAGCCCAGCATCTCTATAATTAGTTATTTCAAAAGAAAATACCTCAATAGGAGAAATGTCTTTGTCAGGATTGCAGAATTTGAAAAGAGAAGCGCCTATGCCTTTTTTGGAAAATAAACAATTCAGTTTCTGGAAACGACTTCACAGCTTGGAGCCCAGCAATGCCTATTTTAGATTAAATTGTCTGTTAATTAAACCGAAATGATTTAAACATTCCTCACCTTGCATTGCACCTCTCAGAAAACAAAAACAAAACCAAAGAAAAAACCCTGGGGTTTGTAGTGAGGACAACAGACACCCTCCCCAGCTCCCAAACAGCCAGCCTGTTTAAAGTGCACAGGATTTATGAGGCCAAGGGACCCGCGCTGGCTCCCATGGGCTTTTGGCAAACCCTACCCTGCCTGTGGGCCCGGCAGGCGCTGCGTCCCTGCGCGTTGGCAGTTGGCGACCCCCCTCGGCTCCCCCTCTGCTGCGGGCTCCCTGTGGCCTTTGGCGGCTCCGCGAGTCGGCTCCAAATGTTTTCCATATTTGTTCAGCCTCCGTAATTCGAATACCAGGGCAGGCTCAGCCCGCCCAGCGCTGCGCTCCGGGCCCAGCGCGCGGCACACGCACCCACCCACGCAGCCGCCATGGGCAAGGATAAGCAGCCTCGCGGCCAGCGGAGGCAGGGGGGGCTGCCGGCCACGGACGCCACCGGGCCCGACGACATGGGGCCGAAGAAGGGCAAGGGGGCCCCCAAGGAGTGCGGGGAGGAGGAGGCCCGGACGTGCTGCGGCTGCCGGTTCCCGCTGCTGCTCGCCCTGCTGCAGCTGGCCTTGGGCATCGCCGTGACCGTGGTGGGCTTTCTCATGGCGAGCATCAGCTCCTCCCTGCTAGTCAGAGACACTCCATTTTGGGCTGGGATCATTGTAAGCATCAAGTCTGTTTTGCCTAAGCGCGTTTGCCGAACAGGAATGCAAAGCCGCATGGTCGTCACGACTAACCCAGCTGCATGCGCCCTTCCCCAGCTCCACTCCTCTAACTCCGCTCTGCTTGGTGGCTGAGCCTGCCACACTTGTGTGCCCGGGCGGGCTGGGCGCCGGAGGACTCGCGCCCCTTCTCCCGCTTGTTGCTCCGACGCCTCCAGTGGGCCTGACTCGAAACGCGCTCTGGAGCTGGGGAGGCCAGGCAAAGGCTGCTTATTTTGGTCAAATTGAACGGCCTCAGTAACGACAGCAGATTCACTTTGGCTTTTTCCTTGTCCTAGTCCCTGATCCCCACTCCTGTTCCCGAATGAGTAACAAACAGGGAAGTAGTTCATCTTAGTAAAAGTAGGTTAGGAAAAATCCTGTACTTTGGAGTTGCCATATTGTTTAGGATTAAATTTATTCTTCACATTTGAGGTTCCATTAGCAAGTCTTACAGAATAATGATCGAAAGCTGGAAACTCGAATACAGCAAGCACAACCTTAATCTGCTGGAGTCTAAAGTGGGATAAACCCAGGACTCTGGCCGGAGCAGAAGTTTATTTGGGACTCTGCTAATGGATGTACTGTTCTAAGCAGAACACTGCTCAGCTGTTGCGAGTGAGTGTTGAAACACACAACATACTTGTCTTAATTAGATTCTTTGATATGAAATGGGTGCCGTTTATTGAGCACCTACTGTGTGTCTGTCCTGCTAGAGGCCTTATATATGTGTTTTTTTTTCTAATTCCCACATCGTTTTGGGATACTTCTTATTCTTTTTCTCAAATGAGAGAACCAAGGGCAGGCACCCAGGGTCATGAGCTGGCAAAGCTGGCAATCAGCCACGTTGATTCCTTTTCTCACCAGACGACATCTGCACTGTCCTCAGAGCCACGTTGCCACCATGTTTGGCTTGTAACTTTAACATATATGTTTTTGTGGATTTTTTTTTTTTTTTTTTTGCCTGTAGAGTCTGATTTATTTTTTAAAAAACCTTTTGCAGAATAAGGGCCTGGAATTATGAGAAACGTTCTACGTTGATTAGCATGGCATTTTTGTACAGAACGTAATTATAATATTATGCTAGATTATGGTGCCTTGTGGTTTACTAAAATCTCATTGATCCATGAAACAGCACTTTGAGGTGGGAACTGTTTTTCCTCTTTGGACACGAGGAAAGCGATTAAGAGAAATTGTCTGACATTCCCAGGGCCCAGAGACCGAAAGTGGCAGAGTCTGGGGAGACTAGAATCACACTTCCAGCGCCCAGTCTCACGTTGCCTCGTTACTGCTGTTACTGACCACAGGCGCTATCACTCAGTGCAACCCTCGAAATAATTTCTATCAGGGCAGATGGTAAAAACAACTGATAAATATGCATCGAGGTAGGGCTTTCCTAATTAAGATTATTTGAACTCACAAATTCTTGCAGAGCAATTTAAAACTTTTAATTTGTGTACTAAGAATTCCCACGAAATTATCATAATTGGAGTTTTCTAAATCAAGTCATTTTAAAAATAGCTTTTCACCAAGATATACTGGGTATTTTAGTCACCCCAATGTGTCAAGTTACCAGAGGAAAAAAAAGTCTGTCCTTTAAGGCTAGGAGAATTAAAAGAAAAAAGAAATGAAACTCCTTCATTCACTGGTTTTGAACATCACTTGTGAATGTTTTCTATTTTTTCTTTATTTCATCTTTTAAAAGCCCACTAATAAAAAAGCAAGTTAGAAGGGAAAAATTTGCGCCTTAATGTTTAAGGTGTGACATACAAATCCTGCAACTCTAACATTTCAGGAGCTCCTATTAGGAGTGTCACGTGGACACTTCCTGGGTGTGGTACGAAGAGTATTATCTATAGCCAGGTCTCTCTTTTTTCCAGTTTTCTAGTTTATAATATAGGATCTACTTGAAGTTTTTTTGTGATAATATCTGTACTGGTATTGATAATCTTAAGTTTTCTTTCGAAAACTTAGAATGTGTTTGTAGAGCAGAGCAGTTAATGGAGATGCCTTGAGACAAACGAGGAGGGTCTCTAAGGAGCCAGGCAAGGACAGACTCTCATCCCAGTCGGGCCAGGGCTGCAGGCACAGCTCGGTCCCCCACAGACACCGGGCTTGTTATCCTCCTCTCCCTGTCTCTGGTTCTTCATGGGGCAGCCGCCAAGCTTTCAGGAATGGGAACGGGCGGGGAGGCCCCATGATGCCGGGCGGAAGCGGAAACACTGCACCTGGGATGGAGCCCTAGCTCGGCCATTATTCTCTGAGTAATTTAGGGAAGTTACTGAACCTCTCTAGGTTTCCATTTTGTCACTGATGAAATCAGAATGCTAATAATCATTCCTACCTCTTAGGGCTGTCCCAAGGATTAAATACATTAAGACCTGTTGTAATACTTAAAACAGTGCTGGCTAATGGGGAGTATTCAGTGAGTTTGCACTTTTTATTAGCAGTTTAGTGCTGCAAGCATTGGTAGTGGCATTCCTCAAACTAGAAGTGGCTCCATTTTATCTCTAGTCTTGCAGAGCGGTCATTTCGGACTTACTACATTTTCCAGACCAGCCTGAACCACGAAGGAGATACCCATTTGACCATCTCACTTTTTCTGTTCTCAGCCAATTTCCTAAGAGCAATCTTAGTGGTGTTAGGTTGCCCAGTGTTTTCGGAATCTTTCTGGGGGTTTATAAAAATTAACTGGGAGGAATGTGGCCCCCTCCAAAGTCATTTTCCCCAGGCATATGGGATGATTCTGGTCCGGTATATCCCCCAGGGAATACTGGAACGTTTGCCCTGTTGAAGAGACCTGCTAGACCAAGGCAGTGCAGATCAATCCCTGGGACTGAGGCAGAGTCAAACCCACTTCCAGACTTTAGGCTGAATTCAGGCGGGGTCTCCAGACTGATGCACTCACTCATCGTCAGCTTTGCATGCTTACTCACATTACTTATTCATTTTACAAGGGTTACTACCCCATGACTTTGGGATTTGGGCACTACCATTCCCATAATTGAATCTTGGTGTATGGACAAATCCACTGAGGTGACTTCCTGTTGACCAATGTTTGGGTGACTTGATGAATATTCAGTGAATTTCTGGTTATAGACTGAAGAAGCACTTGGTGATCTGTGATCAGAGTTATATCCAGTGAAACTTTAGGAAAACAAATAGGTTATTTCTTGCCTATCCATAAATATGACTTCCTCATATCAGAGAAATGACTGAAGTCTTTTTATTTCTGTTACAAAAGGTTCCTGTAAAGGAAAAAAAATAGAATGGAACCACTGTGGAGACTAAAGTAATCTGTCAAAGTGCTATTCGTCTCTTAAAATTCTTTATAAATGGCTTCAGGGTTGTAAGTCACACCACAATGACAATACAAAGTGAAACAAGGTCTTTGAGGGTGAGCTTGGCTAGGGGCAGGGGATCCTAAGTAGTAGGAACTTTGCTCTGCATTTTATTCTATCGATGGCTTGAGTGCTGGATCAAATAGGCATTTAAGGTTGCTCATAATTCTAGAATTCTTATTGATGAAAATGAGTATGGCCCTGGCCAGTTTGGCTCAGCAGCTAGCTGAGCGTCAGCCTGCATACCAGAGAGTCCCAGGTTCAGTTCCCACTAGGGTCACGTAGACAAAAATAGTAATAATAATAATAATAATGAGTATGGATTGAAGGAATCTAAGAAGTTTGGGGCCTTTACTTACTTGTTACTCTGATGAATACAATTTTGGTTTAGGTGAAGCATTACATGTTTGAACTTTGGCTTACTTTTCTTTATTCAGTAGCATTTGTTGGGGGTGTCCACCACAATAGGCATTGGTCGAAAAAATAATACTTTGTCTACCAGGAGGAGATCTCCAGAGAGCCTGATGGATATGTGCCCTTACCATATCTGACAGTAATGAATACTTCCAATTAGGAAACTTAACCTACACAAATATTTCTGAAGCCCATTTACCTTTCACAGCATTTCACTTACCGTGATTTATTTGCTTTGGCATCTCTACTCTGAAGTCAATTTAAGAGCAAACTCTTGTCTCTCATCCCCAGTGGGGATGCTTAGTATTTGTTAGTCTTTTGGCACTTCTGGGTAATATCCCCTTGGAAAATGGGGATTTCTTTGCCTTATTGTGGTTTTTAACTGTCCTCATTCTCTCTCCATTGCTCCCATACCCCACCCAACTGGAATAAAAATCTTGATATATATATACCACATGAATCATATTAGAAAATTTAAGGAAAGGGCTTAAAAGGAAGGGAAGAATATTTCCTTTCCTTAATGTCATTCATAAAACTCATCATATGAATCTGTCATGATTAAGAGTCCTGTCAAGAATTTGACATATGTTAACTTACTCTAAGGAATTCAAAATGCAGATGTATTCAATTTTTATTTTTTTAAATATGTTTTTATTGATTTTTTTTTTTTTTTTAGAGAGATAGAAACATCAATATGAGAGAGATACATCCATCAGCTGCCTCCTGCATGCCCCCCACCAGGGATCGAGCCCACAACCTGGGCATGTGTCCTGACTGGGAATGGAACCCGGACTTCAGTCCTTGGGGTGACATGCTCAATCCACTGAGCCACACTGGCCAGGCAGATTTATTCAATTTTTAAAATCTATTTTTTTTTATCCTCACCCGAGGACATTTTTTTCCATTTTTTGTTCAGGTAGAGTGGGAGGGGGAGAGAGAGAGAGGGAAACATCGACATGAGAGAGATACATCGAGTGGTTGCCACCCACACAACCCAACCAGGGCCAGGGACAAACTGCAACCGAGTTATGTGCCCTTAGCGGGAACTGAACCCCGGTCTCTCTGTACTGTAGGCCGATGCTCTAACCGCTGAGCCAAACCGGTCAGGGCTTAAAATCTATTTTTAATTTGACTTAAAGGAAGGAAAAGTTGGGTGCTTATTTATTTTAAAACAGAATATACCCTGAAACTCACAGTTAGGCATAT